AATACTCATAAGGATGAAGTTCTTAAAGAATATTATCATTCTTCTTTTCAAATATATGTTAAAAATCTTGATATTTTCTTGAAATATCACTTGAAGTTTGTTTCTCTTTAGAAATAAATGTGGCATAAATGACTCAAGATAATCCTTCTTTTGGAGTATACAAGAAAGCTTTTATATCTATAAATACAAATTCAATTATACTAGACTTATGACTTTCTACTTGATTAATTATTTTTTTAGTTATACTTCTAAAAAAGTCAAAAATATATAAAAAATTCAATCTATTTTGGAATTATATATTTTTTAATCATCATAAATCTAAAATGATTGAATTAAAGAGAGATCTAATGATATTAAATATTACAAAGCTATTATGATCGATAGTTGTTATTCCTATAGGAAGAATTTCATAAGTAACATGTTTTGAAGACAATAGAGGACCATCTATGACTTCTATATGAAGAGGTTTAGTTTTCTTTATTGAAGGTATGCTATGTCTTTTAGAAAATTCTTCATCTAAGAAATATACTAAGGCTCCTAAATCTAACAAGACAAACACTTTATCATGATTAGATCCTAAAATAAAATTTATTGTAAAATAAGGAAAAAGATTACATGAGAGAATAGGACCTTCACTAGATGTTGTAGAAGGTTCCAACCACATGATCTCTATTATATTTAGTCAAATATTTTTTTTGACATACTATCTTCTTTAACAATCATATTTCTCATTTTTTGGTTGTGTCGCTTCTTTGGATAATATTAAGCAATATATTTAGATTTTCTATAATACAAGAATAATCTTTCTTGATGACAATAAGTCTTTTCTTTCTTAGTAAGAAGTTTGAAATGTACTACATGAATTTGCATATCCACTACTTTTGAATGTATGTATTGAAGAGATGTTAGTGTTGCTATTGAATTATAGTAATAATAATGTAATAATAATGTAAGATGGAAATATGTCATTGCATTTGCTTTTAGAAGTAATAACAATACAAAGTCAAATTACTTATCTTATGAAGGATAAGCTTTGGCATTAGTTTGGGCCATTTCACACTTTCAACCTTATTTATATGATCAACATTTTATATTAGTAACTAAGCATGTTTGAACCTTTTATTATATTCATGTAATAGCAATAAGTTAAAGATCACAAAGAAGATATGGTAAATAAGGCTTTACAAGAAGTTGATAAAATTGATCAATTTGAAGGAAAAGATATTATAAGATATTTAAGGTGTTACATTAAAGAAATGGAATTGAAGCATTGTTGTATTTTATGAAGTTTACTTGAGAATGCATTGAGAACTTGATTGTAGAAGGTAAAATAGAACTTGTAATAAAATGATTCTTATAATTCTAATAAAATCTTAAACAAACTTTAATTAAATTATAATGATACTAATCAATCTTTAAACTTCAATTTGTAAGACCTCAATCCACTTAAACTTCAATAATCTTCAATCTAACCATTTGATTAAGTCCAAATTTGTAATACACATTAAACACAATTATACAAACTTACAAATTTCTACCTATAGACTTATATCAAAATTTATGAAATTGTCCAAAATATCAACTCTATTTAATTTTATAAATTTAAAAATCATCTAAGACAATCCTAACTTTTCACAACTCTTATAAAGTCATTACAAATTCAAATATGTCAAAATTAATACTCAAAGAAGTTTAATCTGCTCGACTCTTAAATTTTACTTTTTAATTTTTGACATATGTGATATATGGCTAACTTATTGGTCAAGTTTTTAATCTATTAATTACCTATATATATGTATAAAGGTAAAACTGCATCTATGAATCTTCTAAGAAGCTTATCTATAAGATATTATCAGATTAACATACTTTTATCTTTTTATAATATCTACATAACTATTAGAATAAATATGTATGTCTATGATAATAGAATCTAGTTAAGATTTTCTATATTTTGATTTTTTTAAAATTTTATTTATATCTTTATTAAAATTTATTAATATTAATTTAAATTATAATAATAAGTATTCATTGCTTACAAATTAATAAAAAAATTATTCATATTTCTATTTTTTACTATTCTAAAAGATAATAGTTCAAAATAATTTTATCATAAAAGAATTTTTAACAACCATTCTACTTGCTAAAACTAATTCACATGCTTCATTATTGCATAGTGCTAGTTCTGCAACCTCAACTACTCTAATGACTAAAACTCCTATTTGAGTTAGAAAAAAATTTATAAATTACTTCTATCTAATGAAATATGGCTACATAAGATCATAACGTTAATGCTTTAGAACCAATCATTTATTTTTACTAAATTTAATAAATATTTAAAATTAATTATGATTTCTTATAGAATCACTAAGAATTATGTTGCTACAATATTTATTTATTAATTTTTTAAAATGATTTTATATTTTTATATTTTTATCTAATTAAAATATAAAAAATTAGAAAATTAGTATCCAACAAGCTTGATTGAATTTTTCCTAACAAAAAATAAATTATTAAGTAAATCTTTCCACATACCTCATACAACATTATTCTTACCTAAAAAGAACTTTTTTCTTGTCATTCAATCTAACATCATTCCTTCAAGTCTTTAAAGAGCCAAAACACATTTACATTTGGATGCAAATTTCATAAAAAAAATATGGAATTGCAAAAAGATAGTTCTATGTAATTCTTTTGATAATATTAAATGGTATCAATTACATATAGTTGAATTTAATATATCTATGGAAATCAAAGCATTATGACAAGCATAACATTTTTTCAATAATTTGAAAATAGATTTTGAAGTTTTTCAAAGCTTTTTTAAACTGAAATTATAAGAAACTTATATATCTTTATAATTACAACCTTTTATTACTAGTAATAGATGTCATGATTGAATTGTAAAATTATTTAATAAGTAAATTATTAAATTTTTTTAAAGGGTTATATTAATAGTTGTATGTTAAATTGATTCAAAATATCTCTTTTAGTATGTGAAGAAATTTTAATTATTTTAATATTAAATTTTATAAAATATTAAAATTAAGTTGTGGATTTTGCTAAAATTTCTTTATAAACTTGGAGCAAAGTTTACATATTGAAAATCTAGAGAATTTCATTGTTAAGTGACAAAGTTAAGGAGCCATAGAGAATACTTTGATTATGTATAGTGAATTGGTTGCTTACATGGCTAGGCTCTAGTTCTTCCAACACATTGTACTAATGACATAAAAAATATCTTCACATAATGATAAGATAAAGGTTTTGATATTTCTTGTACTATGAGCATATGAACTATTTAAGAATGGATACAATTCTAAACATAACTCCATTGCAAAGAAAAGGATAAAGCAAAATTAAAAATAAATAAAATAAAGTTGAATTATAATTATATTTTTTATTCTATTTATATATATATATATATATATATATATATATATATATATATATATATATATTATGGCTACTTACTATAGGAAATAACAAAAAAAAGTTCCATAAATAAAATTCTCTCTAATATTTATTTTGTTATTATTTATATTAATAAATAATTTTTTATATTAATTTTAATCAAAAAATTTATAACCAATAAATAATTCTATCTTCTAACACTAAAATATTGAATTTCTTTAGAATATGTCATATCATTACTATAATAGATAGAATTATGCATCTCCTTACTCAAATATTTTTTTACCAATTATTAACACACTTGTCCAAAACTATACTTGGATTTTAACTCTTTTTATCTTCAACTAGGTGTGAGTAGAAAAGCTAAGCAAGATGAACAATTTGACTAAAATAAGTAGAATTGTATTGACATAACATGTTGGATGAAGTAAATAAATATATCAGTGTGCATTCTTGTTTAGCAAGAACTCCTCTAATAACACAATATGCAATGTGCAATATTTTCTTCCATTGCAGTCTCCGCATCAGGTTGTGCACACAACTGCCACCCGATGCATCCATCCAACAGGCTAGAAGAGATCAGCGTTTGGGAAGATCAATGATTCTACACACACCATCGACTTCTAGATCTGCAACAATTTGAACAATGTGGGTCATCAGCTATTGTTTCTCAGTACAAAGCTCTCTCTTAGCTTCATAGTCCTTGTGACTGGGTCCCTCGTTGCAATCTTTGTATAGGTCATTGTATTGGTTAGAGTTTTTGGGTACTCCCCATCAGGTCCTTGTCTGCACATCATCACCGTGAAGGACCAGCTCATGGAAGTCATTGCTGTTTTTATGTATTCAGCGGTTTTCTCATGCCGTGAAATCATTAAAGAATGGCCACTGGAGCTGGTGTTGAGAGATTCAGAGCTTCCAGCGTCAGAGAGAAGATGTCTGGATCCCATGTGCACGCTCAGGCTTGAGGGTCCAGGAAATCGGCGAAGTGCGCAGGAAGTGTGGATATAGATCCATCAAACTCCCTGATACGAGTCGTTACAGCTAACTCAGACGTTACTGCTCAAGCTGTCTGGAAATGAGCTTTGTTTTTAGCAGAAGCTGAGTTTTAGTAAGTACAATCTACTGCCACTTGATGTGTTGAGCAATCACTCATGAATGGTGGAATGCTTATTGGTGAGTTCTCAGATAGATTGAACCATCAACTGTCCATTTGGATCAGACATGTTACTTGTGATGTGTCCAGGCTCTGATAGTGGGAGGTGATAGGTGAGCATACTACTGATGCTTGTTGGGGGCACGTGGCCTTTGCAAAATTATCAGGTGCTTTAGCTGATTCAACCAGAATTACGTTTGATATGCTTAATAAAGCTGCGCCAGTTCTCTTGAAAACACACGTAGAACACAGTGGCAGAATGGATATCATTGTTATGGGGATGTTCACCAGTGTTCAAGGTTTATCTATTTACATCGCCACGTTCCAGAGGGTCTTCTTCCTCTCCACAGGTGGGTAAATGCCTACCTTCAACTTCTGATGAAAACTACGGTACATTGCATTCAGTTTTGATGTCCAGGTGTCTAATCAACCGTTCTCACTTTAAATCTGTACGTTTCCCAGTTTTACATTCGGCAAGTAAAGCATTTCCGCGTACTTTTTTTATTTCAAAAAAATTATATGCATGACAAATTGAGTGATAAATTTCACAAAAATGCTGCTTTACGTCACAGAATGCCTTACCCCTCAAAAGGCGGAAGAGAGAACCCACTTCCGCATCGCAAACCGTTTTTGCAGCTCTGAATCAAATATTCTTGAGGCATTCCATACCGTTCACTTAGTCTTCACCACTGCTATTACACTATCCAACTATCATCCTATCATCGTCGTCCTGACTGGCAATTGTGGCAACTTCCCCCCACAAGCACTACTACATTGATATCAATACTGTTCCTCATAAAGCTTCTTAAGCTGTGCTTACGACTTCAGACCCAAATAATCAATGAAATCTACACCCTGAATAACCTGCACATTCAGCGACAAACCAATGAGCACAATATTCCTACACGTCACCACTTTCAACAATCTCCCGTGACATGTATAAAAAATTGCTCGAAAACTACTGGTAATCTTAATGGGAAATCATGTTATGTACACAAACCATAGCAACACTACGGCAAATGACAACCTACCGAAGTGGCAGGTATTCAAATTCACTCGTTTCATATTTTAAGTATGTAGTGTTGTACGTGTACTCATGACAGCAATGTTAGACCCGCAACCAGACAGGAAACGATGCAGCGGATTACAACTAATAACTGCGAGTCTTCATGGTGAAACATGGCTGATGACCGTGGGCCGCTTTCACAACAGGGGTAAACTTGCGACAAGAGACAGCTGCGAGACAGCTGGGATTAGATTTTGTGTCTCTACGCAAATATTCTTCCTAAGCTATTCGCAGAGGCTTGGTCTGAAATGGGTCTCACTAATTCTACGACTGCCAAGGTTTGTCATGATTTCTACGAATAGTTATGGATGGTGAGTTCGTACGACTTACTTGGATCCGTTATGGTGATCACACTCGTCCCTCCAAAGTAGCAGTTCCAGTAATTCCTACCCATCTTCTGATAGTAAGTGTTGAACGCAAATGAAGCGTGCGAAAGCACAGTGTTAGGACTGTAACAAGCCCCACCGGCCTGAATCTCCCCACAATCCGCACCCCCTTCACCGCACGCAAAATTCAATGCATTCGCCACCTCTGACTCGCCCGACCCTGGCTTCGCGACGCACCATGTCTTGCCGGGATTCCCACTTTGAACCGGAGCATAATATGGAGGACTAGGAGTAAGCACAGGCGGTGTCGGAGGAGTAGGATAAATGTTCGCAGGCGGAACTGGCGGAGAGTACACAGGCGGTGGAAGCGACGGCTGCGGAGGTGGGTAGACAACAGGAGGAGTTGGAGAAATCGGGGAGGTGTAGGGTGGAGTTGCAGAAATCGGTGGATACGTGTTCGTCACTATGCCCAGATTGTACACGATCGATTTGTCGGGGTTGAAAAGGCCGAAGAATCGCTCTGATCCAGGTCCAGGTTTCATGTTTTCGTTGAAGAGCGCGAAGATGTACGCGTCGACAGATGTAGAAGGGCGGAGAGGCGTCCCCTTGTTGGATGTGACATATTTGATCAAGTTCTGATTATAGATCTGGGCGTTTGTGGCGCTGACTGCAATCTCGGTGGGGTCACCGCTGGAGGGCCAGCCGGTCTCAGAGATCAGGACTGGGATATTGTGGTAACCAAACCGCTCCATGGCGGAGTATACTGAATCTAGCTGCGCATCCAGCATGTTGTTATAATGTAGGCCTGTGTTGACGTCCGTGACGCCTGTGTTGGGCTGGAAGAGGGAGTAGTTGAGCGAGACGTTCTTGGGGTCGTCGCGGTATGCAAAGTAGGGATAGAAGTTGACCATGATAGGACTGCTGGTGGCGGACAGAAAGGCCAGCAAAGACTTCACCTCGTTGGTGATGTTAGCCCGAAAAGCGCCGGATGACGGTGGGAAGGACTTTTGCAGCACCTGGAGGTTGTGTGGAGTGCTCACCTTGATGTAATCGAGCTTGAGGTTCACGAGAGCGGTGTGTATGTTGACCATGGCGGGAACGAGTTGGGATGCCATCTGCGGGGATGTGGTGAAGACCTCGTTGCCGACTGCGAGGGCAGTTATTTGAGTCCCCGGCACATACGCAGCAATGTTGGATTGCACCCAAGCCTGCGCGGCCGTGGAGCTGCTGGCGAGAAGTGGAATGGATTCTGTCCCGATGCCAACAACAAGTTTGATGTTGGTGTTGGCGAAGGCCTCCATGATGGCTTTATCAGCGTTGTAGATCTTGACATTGCGGAGGGATGTGGAGAGGAGCAGCTGGGCGACTTGGGCTGAGGAAGGCAAATTGTTGCCTAAAGTGCCGTAGTTGACGCCCACGGTGCCACCGGTGCCCACTGCAAATCAATGGATTGCTTGAACAGCGTCATGATCGGAACATGGAGCCCGTCATTGGGTTGTCCATAGAATATCAAAAACAATTCAAGATGGTGAGCAGCTAGCTAGCTAGCTGCTGAGCGAAACAGTGCAGAGGAACTTTCTCGTATCGGACATTTAGGCCTTACAACACTAATAAACAAAGGCCAAAACCTGTAACACAGTGGACATAGGCAATGTGCAGACTTGGTCTAACTAGGTAGCACAATACGTCATAGCTTTAGAAACAGCTACTCTGAGTAGATACCTTAAAAGAAGCCAGCGAAGCAAGGTGAAAGTAGTTGTCCTGACAGTGTGTCTTGAGGTGGGAGTACTCAATATATGTCTAAATATTTTCTTGACTCAAGGTAGCGGTTAAAGAATGCCATGCCATGCCGTGAAAACTGAGAGCCGGCAGCACTAAACTCTTCCTAGCAACAAGACCGACTCGCAATCGAAGCAATCCTGCTAATTTTCACCAGCCATATAACAATCAAAAAGCATCCGTTCCCACCTCACGGAGCACTCAGCAAAACTCTTCTCAAATCATCTAAACTGATTTAAACTAACATCCAACTGGTTTATTGTGATGTCGTACCTGCGAAGGAGAAACAGGAACAACCGAGCACAACGAAAATTGCAAGTTTTAGGCAACTCCTCCCATGCATTGAGGTCCTCATCGCCTTATCCATTCGATACACGCTGGAAGGAGGAAAGAAGAAAAACGAAAAAACCCCTCTTCGCGCAACTCCACTGCAATCAATCAACTCACCACAGTAGACCACTGCATTACATTACCACGCAGCCATTGCAAAGCCGACGCACATGGTGACCGCTCCTGCTGTCGCTCAACACGCACTCAACTCCACGGAAGTGAGCAGCTTCTGGACTTCCTCAAAAGGGACCCGTAACTTAGGTTATCTACCTCAACGAAACACCCTCAGCATTACAAACCCGCTCGCATAACCGTTGCAATGGCTCCCGCGAACGACTGAGACTAACAGCTGCCACGTTGCCGGGACAGACACACCTGAACCAACTGAGCAATTGAGTTAACTGGGCTGCTGCTGCTGCTGCTACAACAAATACATGAGGATCTTCTGCCGAGATTTGGCACCAGCTAGGACATGACGCTGTGAGATAGCTGGATGGCAGATGGCGAGAAAGGTGCAGACGGCATTGGCATGGCAGACGCTGTGCTACCTAAGGGGGGGAGTTGAAGGGAGATTAGTAGGGGCCGTGGAGTAGAGATTCGATCGGTGATGATCTGGGTCTGGTGGCGGCAACTGCAGCTTGATATTCAAGGTTTTGGGGGCGGGGGCATTGATCAGAGCCTGTCCTCTCTAGCTCTGTCAGCTTTGATTTTGATCTCCTGCTCCATGTTGTCACGCTCCATTACGGTATTCCGGACAGCAACGTCTCTCTGTCTAGTCCTGCTGGATACGGCCCCCCATCGTCGTAGTAGAAAGTTGGCAACCTGAGTGCCCAGTCCTCTATGACGGGCGCTGCCCTCTACGTCACCATTGCGGAGATGATGTCCACAATATAGTAGAACAAAAACTACTTCATTCTATGACTCACTTCCTTTTATTTGCAATTCTACTGCAAAAACTCGGTATGCTACTTCAGTTTCATGATCTGATCCATAAGCTGTGGTCTGACTTGCACTTGGCCATGTGTGTGGCCTGTCTTACTAGAATACAACTTTTTGTCTGTTCCTCTAGTGCTCCGTCCTCTTGTCCACTTGCATCTTGTGCTCATGTACCTTCGACAATCTGTATAGTGCATACGAGTGATTATATAGTTGGACATGATATATGGGTATTTTTGTACTTTAAAAAACTGAGCCTTGACTTAAGTTGTAAAAATACATCACCTTTTCTCTTTTTCTGGATGAGAGAAAAAGAAAAAAAAAACATTAAGATGTTAGTTGTATGTATAGATGTAAAATGGGTTAAAATTTATAACTTTGGTCTTTTTATATTTTTAAGTGATGGATATATGGTGCATAAATGTGGCGTTCTAGAAATAATTTGATTTTATATGGAAAAATAAAATAAAACTAGAACAATATCTTTGTTGAATTGAACTGGTCAACAGATACTTGTAAGAGGTTATTCAAAGTATCATGGATGGTTTCAAGGTTTCAATTTTACAAGTAACTTTCATAATTATTTATACCAAAATTGTAAATAGTGTACATGATCTGATGATTTTTATCTTAGATGTTAGACTATTTTATAACTATAAGAGAAAAGGAATTTTAATCATTTATTTATTTATGTTTCTTTAATTATTATAAATGCTACTGTACATTATCTTGCTGTAAGAAATAAGTACCTATTGTAGTATCGAATTTATTTTTATTATACCACTATTCTTGGAATCTCAGCATCATTTTTTATTTTTTAAATCTACTGTGAAGATACATATAACAAACAGTGTTAATATATATAATTCAGGGCACTTGATTATTATTTTATATGATCATTATTATTATCTGATTGCATACATATGTCTTGCATATAATCATGCATCAACCTAAACTTAGATAAAAATTTCACAATAAATCAAACATACCAATCAATAATAAATTTTATTTAAAACAAACTTATTTATTAAAAATATATGTAATATCATGAACATTAAAATATCATCAGATGTTATAGAATAATATTTCTTATTTTTCTTTTTGGCATAACATATGCAAATATTTTTTATACAAATGTATACATTAAAAAATAATTAAAAAAACATAAATACAATCAACTTTCATATAAAACTAACAATTTTTTTGTATTGTCAATCATAAATATGCTAATTCTTTATAAAAATTGGTGCATAATTATCATCTTAATTTTGATTATATATATATATATATATATATATATATATACACAATAATGTAATAACTTTATTTAAGAATAGGTGCAAAGTTTTAGCTATGTTTAAGGTTACAGAATTATAACATCCTATTATATGACATCCTATAGATGGAAATTTTACCACTTCAAAAATCACTACCTATAGGAAATTTATGACAAAAATAATTAAATCCATATTCATCTTTTATTTAACCCTTATTTAAATACCTCTGAAATTTGGCAAAGATTTTTATACAACTTATGCATACTACGTACATATTAGTTGAGAGCTTTTTTAATCCTAAAATGTCTTGAGACTCTACTTAGAAATTTACAATGCAAATAAAAAGACCCTTTGTATGTTCAATTCCAAAGAGTATACTAACACTATACAATAGTAGTGTATAAAGCCAATGGTAGCCTTATTTAGATCTGCCTAAATTATTTATACCATTAATATAGGACTTTTGAGTCTTCGAATATAATTAGAATTAACTTGTTATAAATATTAAGAGAGGCACATTAAGTATGTCTGAGGTTTATTTCAATACACCAAAAACATCAAAAGCTTTAACCTAAATTTAGATAATTTATCAACATATATATATATATATATATATATAGATATCTCATTTTTGATATTTATCTTACTTATGATAAAAATATATCTAAGATAGATTTTGTTATACTTAAAATTAGAATATTGAATTTTTTTGAAATTTTGTAAATTCAAATTTATATATATATATATATATATTATATTTTATATTTATATTTTATATTTTAAAAATACTTCATTCTAAAAATAAAAATAAATAAAATGAATTTTCCTGAAGATTTTATATATTACAATACTATTTTAATTTTATTTTATCTTTTACCATATATAAATCCAATAATTTCTTAATTACACCCCTAAATAACATATATATGTAAATATATATTTTATGGAATAAATTGAGTACAAAACATGTATATTTACTCCTTGTGGCATTCAAATTTTATATGCCTTTGTTGTATTTTAAATGTCTCTTTCATTTCTTAAGGCCACAGTATTTTTTGAAAAAGTAATTTAAATGTATAACATTTTCTTCCACTCAATGATGATTTATTTAAACTTTTATTTGAAGCCTTCAGGACCCATAATTTTAAGGTAGTTGTGTTTTAACTGTTTTTTTGTAATTTATCATTTAATTAAATATCGATTATTTCATGGATTTTTATTTAATATTCTTTGCTTTAAAAATAAACCATAGATTACATTAGTAAAACTGACGCTATTGATCTTTTTTGTACAATTTCATTGTAATACTTGGAATGAATATTTCAATATAATCTGTCATTATTGTTTCTATTCCACATTTTTTTCAAGTAAAAAAAAATCATATATATATATATATTTATATATATTGATCTGGACCATTTTCAAAAAGGAGAGTGTAGATATTAGTTTTTAATAAATTTTAAAATCTGTCTGGAAAATAAACCATTTTTCTTCTGATTACTTACATACCTTCATCAAACACAATGTGTCAGCCATACAACAAAATAAAAATAAAATAAAAAAACCCCCATTTCCATCATTCAATCACAAATCAAAAATCAACATGCATGGAAACAGTTTACAAAACACCATAAACAAACCAAGTCTTGTGCATGTGAGACCATAAGCAAAAGCTCCCATAACTTGTGATATTCATGTGGAGGGTCTGAGACACTATTGATCATAAAAGATCACCTCACCTTGCCTTATTCCAGTTGTTTAAAGTCCCTGTCACACAGACATTGCATCGTGTAAAGCTAACCATTCACACCCTGTCAATTGTATCCAGATCCCAGTACAAGGATGCTAGGTATGAAAGATGGGTGAATTCATACCCATTAATGGCTTTGTCTTCGTGGGTCGCTTGCTAACTGCGAGTTGAAGATGCTTACAAGGTTTCAGTAAGGAAGAAGTGGTCATAGACTTCAGTGAATGCGTCTGGATTAAGTTAGGAGGCGAGCTGTGACTCCGGATATGGTGACACCTTCATAACTTCAGGACACAACAAGATTCTTCTGGTGTTCCCATTGTCTGCGTCAGGTAATCGACCTCAAAAAGTCTCAGTACCTCAGAATCCTGAATGTGCTAGCGCAAGTCAAACTGCCAGGTTTTGAGAACATCAATCGCCATTCGTTGCGACGACGCCTAAATTTTAATGGCCCCACGAGTAAAACCCACTGCAAGATTCTTCCTACACAATGGACAGAAGCGAAGAAATTCTTCTCTGGCAAACCTTGGGCATCAACAGCCAAGTGTATGTGATCGGATGTCATATGCTCTTACTGTATAATTTTCTAAGCCCATTGCACAGCTGCTCTAAGGCCATTGTATAGATGCACCAGATGCATAATGAAGTTAGAAGAAACAATAAATCCAGTGTCTGAAAACCACGTACATTACTTCAAAACGCACCAGCACCGCGAAATGGCATTGCACGTTCACAGTTTAGGATATAAAAAACATCTAGCCTTCGGAAGAGTTGATTGGCAATGCACTGGGACTGATAATCGAGTCCACAAGAACTATAATTGTACAAGGAAACTCTTGACAGCTTTCAATGTTTTATATTAAAATGGGTAAACGGTTACATCCTTGAAGGCCGAGTCATCTGCTGCAGCTGCCTGAACTAAAACCACCGCTTACAATGATTGGATCTAATTTCTGAGTGTCAAGGTGTGCACTCTGGTTTGACATCGATATTTGACCGTTTTATCTGGTCAGTACTGCCAAACTCAGCTCTCTGCACCAGTGGATCAGAACGGCATTCGCATCAGACTTGTGGAAGCAGTCACATGTAACTGCAGGAGAAAAGCTCAGTAGCAACAGTCTCTTGTTTAGGAAAAGATGGTTCCTTGAAGATCATCACGGTTCAGTACTTTCCTCCAAATATCTGTAATCAGATACCAGTGCCTCAAAAAACCACTTCATGTTGAGAAACTGACTTACCAAGTCGAGCCTGTATAGAATAACTCAATTACCAGAAAGCGTCATACATCTCAAGATCTCATGGTTCTCACATGTGATAATAGAGGAACATACAGAATCAGAACCAATAATATGACAGTTCTAAATTTATTCATGAGTGAAAAATTCCTACATATCTAATGTTGTCAAGACCAATGAGGTCGTATCAGAGCCAAACTACTTCCACTGTCGCATAAATATAAGAAGAAAATTATAAATTGGAGTATCACCCACGTGGAGGCTACAAGCTGCTACTAGTGTACAACTGGATTGAAGATAAATGCTCATGACCTGGCCACATGATGCTAGTAAATTATTCATTTTTCTCGATATTTGTAGCTAGTCAGTTGTCCCAAAGCTATCATTGACTGGAACCGTTGGGAAAGCTCATCGTCATTTAACCTTCTCGGAATTTCCGCATCATTATTTGCGAAAACACCAAAAGCAATGCGTCGGCGCAGCTTTCTGGATCCTAGGAGCGTCTGCGGGCCACGGAACCTTGTTTGAAGGGTAATTCAAGTCATTCTAGACCTTTTCTGAACAAGGCAGAAGTCTCCTGTACGCGACAATAAGAATGGTTACAAACTCCAGCTCCTACGCAGGGTAATCAGACCCTTCTCAGTCAGCAATCCAATCCGCGACTCCTTGCTACCACCAAGACCACGATCTCGACTCGCAGTAGAAATATCCAATGAAGGTATATCCTTGATAATACCGCAAGGATGCAATCCCTTAGCAGTACCCTGAAGATGATCCAGACCTCAATCTGCAAACGAAACCATCAAACATCTCCTTCGATAGCCACTTCTCGGACTCATACTCTATTCATAAAGAATTGAAACGCTATTTGATCTCATCAGTGAAAGCATACAGCAGTGCAACCCATGAGTGCTGTTCTAGTACAATCCGAGCGATACCCCTTCTGACATTCTAATAGGAGCTACCTCAACAGAAAAGCTTTCTGCGATAACACCTTAAACAGGAACCAACTCTGAGCAGGGCCAGGGATTAGTGAAGTGAAATTCGATTTGCAGCAACTGATGGAGAGGGACCTTCCCAAGTAGACCCTTCTTAATGTCACTTTGAAGCTCTCGCAGAGGCAGAGCAGCGAAAAATTCCTTTATAAACTGACAGCAAGAAGCTGTTCCCCCATGGCATGTCGCAGTCGAAAGGACTAGTTCCATGGGAACTCCACAAGTCGAAGCAACATCATCAGAAGGTGGAGAAACAGTGTCGCTGTCGCATCCCGCTTTCACTGATGTCATATAATCTGACACCTCTGCTGCTATTGTTTCCGACTGACTTGCAATCTTGACATCTTCAGGTTTTGGAATTGGTGTCGGACCAAGACTGGTCTGGGCATCAAACTGTAATATATAGGCTTGTTCACCACCTTCTTGAAGCCTCTCTCCTAATGTGTCAAATATGTAGCATCTATCATCTTCCAGTTTGAGCACAAAGAAGTGGTCATTCCAGCTTACGATGTAGACAGCTGGTCCTGCTCGCTCGATCTCCTCCCAGATGCTCTCAAATGACATAGCGTCTTGCAAGAACTCCAAGGACTCGTGGCTTACACCTTCGGGAACGAAAAACCCAACGAAGGACATCTCAGGTACGACTCTAAGTGGCCGCACTGCTGCTTCAATAACAGTTTCCAAATCAAAGTGTTTGTCTGCGAACCGATCCTTATATGCTTCCACAGTGCATAGTTTTCTCCACTCAGCAGAACCTTCCCGAATCAGCATGTCAAATTCAGTTTTGCTGGGCACAAGAGTGGGGTGCTTATGTAACCAGTCGGCTATGACCGCTACAAGGGCGGTGCAAGCACTCTCCCCCGCTGCGCTCTCACTACGCTGATCAAAGGAAGCGAAGAACACCTTCGTCGAAAGCTGTGTCTGTCCATCCCTGCTAATAATATTCTTTTGCTCCCATGTTCCTACGGCGAAAAGAGTTTCCCCAAAATCCAGTGCTCCGGCGGCAAGTGCAAGGCTGTCCTCGCTCTTTCGACTCTGAATACATTTGTTCAAACAATAAGTTACATGCAAGATAAATGTCATTACATTTAGGCACGCTAGATTATGGTGATTCAGGAAGTAAATATGAGATAATCTGAAGCAGTCTGTTTGTTAAAATCCAACGTGATGTGTTGCCAATCATTTCACTTTGAACATGTCCAACAACAGAACTTTCCGAAGTTCAATGTCACACAGGCTCTAGAAAAGAAAAAAGAAAAAACAGGAGATAAGTTAGGAGCTGACTGTTGGATCTGCCTGCCGTCGATGCCAGTCAATTTCATCACCACCTTCCTCCCCATAAGCTTTGTTCAGCAATGGCTCCCCGCGAGATCGAGGTGACCTGAAACTCAACTTTCTCTTCCGCCAAGAAAGCATACTCATCAAAGAGCCTTGTGACACCAATTCCGCAGCCTCTGATGTTGAGACCTCCTCCAGAGTCGCATCCACTTTAGGAATTGCCATGAGAGCGGCTCGACTGTACATAGTGTCACGACCTTCAGTATCATCAATTACGGTGCTAGCTGTTTCATCCGCATGGTGAGGCAGCGCACCCTCAACAACCAGGTTGACCCCAGCTAGTGTTCCATAGCCAACAAACTGCCCAATGTTAACTACTTCAACTTCCTCGCCATACTCCTCCACATCAGAATCATCGACCCAGTCCGAGTCAAAGAGATCCAAGCCATCCTGTATGCTTCCAACACTACGAGGGGAGAACTTTCCAGTATCCGTTGGATCAACATCCTCAACCTGAAGATTTCTCTTGGCTTTCAAACCCAACACGTGTTCCCTTGATAATTCCTTGGAAGATTTCTTCTTCTTCTCCGGATCAGGATGAACCTTCACCACATCATCACCCTCAGGCTCCCAAGTGTGAGCATTCCCACCCATACATGCCATTGCAGGTGCCACGAGCCTATGCACGCTCTCAAATCCTGTCTCATACACCGTCCGCAGCTCTGAAAAGCTGAAGGTAATCTGCAATTCGCAAGCACAGTCTCATTATGATTATTTAGTATCCACGAAATCGTCTGACATCTGATAGTCAAGTCAGCGAGCACCAGGGGATTGAAATTTGTCGAAATAGATGCAAGAATTCAACTCTGCGCACGCTGCAACAACCCTTGGAGCTGGCAAACGCAATGATGTGTACAAGTGTTGTCCTTGCAACGCAACCGTGCTTTCTGATGGGCTAAATTGAGACGTCAACGTGTACGAAAGACATTTTCAGTATAGGTTCAAAGCAGAAAATAGTAATAATATTTAAAAAAAAAGGTTTGACTCAATACCCCAAAAGTCGCTTCAACGTTACAATCTCCACGTTTGCATGTCACAGGCAAGGATATGGGATTGTGAGAAGAGGTTGCAGAGGAAGCCAGAGCTCCGAGGTCCAGAATGACAGTGCCCAACACAGAGACCTTGCCTTTCGAATTTTCCGGTAATGCCTACACGACCAAAACCCGCGTGTAAACAAACCAATGCATAATTGCCTCACTGACATAATTTTTCATGAAGTGCTGAGCAAGCAAGAACTTGCTCGCCAAATGTAGGAAAAAGAAAGCGTGATGAGCAAGATCCAATAGAACCACGGCCACTGCAAAGGCATCCGGTTTCCCAAGCTAGAAACGAAACCAAATAAGAGAATACAATATGTTACCTCGCAAAGAACGAGGTGCACATGCCACGGTTGAAAGACACCATCTTTGTCGTTTGTAAGAACACACACATGTTCGAACTTTTTGTCCCATGATACTGATCCGCTGTTCTCCACCGGCAGAGCATTCGTCTTCTCCCGCTTCATACTTCGAAATCGGGAACCAAGGGCACTCTTTGGTCCCTTCCATTTCAAATCGACATACAATTTGGCTTCCTCGGAATCATTTGGAGACAGCCCTTCAAGCTTGTTCAAAACCAGATTGACTTGATATTTCTTGGAAAAGTGCTGACGAAGTGGCCACTTCATCGCCTTAATGACCATAGTGACCGTCTCTAAGAGACGATTACTGCCAACTTGTACTCTGCTTGTTCAATTGAAAACTTAATTGATCTCTCCGGCACGAACACAAGCTTCTGTTTTCAACGCTAGAAAAAAAATAAAATCCCCGGTCGAGGCTACAAACTTGCAAACGAAAACAACCGTAATTCCTGCGCTAGATCCTTCTGCTTCTTTCTCCAACAAAGAGCTGCAAACTCTTAAACACTTTCAACAAAGCTCCACAAAAATCCGCAAACCAACAATAATTTGACGAGTGCTCTTTTCACTCACAGCCAGCCGATACACTGCCATGCTATTTCCAACAGCACAAAACCCCACCTCCAACCCCAAGCTCCACCAGCGACCCCCAGTCATAAACACTCCAAAGCACAAATACGGAAAACTCACATTCTGACAGAGAAGCTACGTCATAGGAAGAAAAAAACTCCTACATCAACACATATCCTGGAGCCTTCCTTCCTTCCCCTACGCGTAATTCTCCACCTCTCCTAATCCCTAGCGCTAGGCTCAGTTCTGCTCCACTCCACACAAAAGCTACAACACCAACAACCCTTACTCCCCTCGACGAAAGTCCACGGGAAGACGCAGCCCCCGCCAATGCAACCCCGCAGCAAGGAACCGCAGCACCTGTAACATAACAAAACACCTCCAGACCACTCCAAACCTCCGGCACAACCAATGCAAGGCACCACTTCACGAGCCACACAGCCCCGGGGGACAGGGATCAGCGTACACTCCCACAGCTAAACTCATCAATACCACCGCACAAGAAACGCAGTGCATTCCGGTCACGTTGCTCCAATTGAGGTCCGCTTAGCCCTGATGAGAGTGGAGAAGCTCCCCTCCCTTCCCAGCGGAAAACAGGGGGGGGGGAACGACAGGACGCTGGCTGGAGCGTGAGGAAAGCTCCCAGCACCTCACCAACCACCACGGCGCCGAGAAAGCGGGGCTCCTCCGTGGTTGGAAGGCTGTCTGTCTGTCTGTGCCGTTGGCCACCAGAGGCTTGTCTCTCATGTCCCGGGGGGGTGATCCCACGCTACCACTGCTGCTGCTACTACTTCTCTACCCAATTGCCCCCTCATCGGAGTCCGTTGCTGGGGGAGGGGGGGGTGAAGCCATCCGCCGCCTCCTCCTCGGGAGGTGTGACGCCGCACCACCGACTGGGTGACGCCGGGCTTTCCCCGCTTGAACAGGCCCTGCCTTGCCCGGTCTGACCCCACCCACCCTGGAGCCCGCTCTGGGGCTTCTACTTTCCGCGAAGGTGATCCTTTCATTGATGAACGTACTTGATCATCCTCCATGACCATCGTTATCCGTTCGTTTGATTGATGGATGTTTTGGTTATCATCTCTATTTACCGTGGTCTGTTCATCCGCTCTGCTTGGTGTCAGTCGTTGAGTGTAGTTTCTTTTTTTCTGTGAGAATATTTATAAAAATAAATAATAATAAATAAATAAATATTTCTTTCTAAATTCCAAATGTTATATAATAAACCAAAAAAAAAATCACTTAGTATGATAATCAATATATTAAAAGAAATAAGTTTTTGTATATGTTTATTTTAAAGTTCTTTTTTCTTTTTTTCTTCTTCTTCTTCTTTGTACAATTCAAACATCACCAAAAAGAAAAAAGAAAAAAATTAAAGAATCATTATTAGATACAAGATGTAGTTGTAATTTATTTTTAAAATATTTTTATGCTTAAAGCTCCATAACCATTTGTTAATTAATATTACAAAAGTAGAAAGATAAATTACTCATTTTTATAAATCAAGTTGCTAGTGACACCACTATAATTTCAAGATGTTGTATTATTTGATTTAAAGTTTGATTAGTTAGATAAGTGTATTATTACAATAAAATATAAAATTATATCAAATGTAAAGTATTAAAATTTAAAAACTTACAAATAATGATACTAATAAAATCAATCAAATATAACATTGAAAAATGAAGATATTTGACACTAAAAAAGACAATGGTAGGCTCACCTTTGATGAATGAAAAACTTGAGTTTATAGAATACTTTATGATAATACATTTTAATATGACACACAATAAATAATTAGACTTAAATATTACTCTGCAGAAACCTTTAGTCATAACTTATGTATACACACACACACATATATATATATATTGAAACTCTATTAGAATTTAATTAAGTATATAAAATTCTTCAAAAAGTAGAAATATAAATATAACAAATGATTCATAACTAACAATTCCATACTAAGTGTGACAAAACAACTCATTCAGATGGACAAGGCAGTGTCTAATACAAATTGAAGCATTCATAACAGAACACACACAATTCTAATGATATTGACAAAACTATTATTCACTCTGGAAGAACTTTCCAATGAAAACATAGATCACAACTTGACATAAATGCTTCACGTGCTGAATAAGTAATACAGAATACTGCTAGATGGATTATAATTGATTAACATGTTCTAGATTTGTATCATATTGGTACATTTTCCATACAAGATACCAAATGTTCAAGTGCTATGAACCTCAGTGTAAGCATATTGGAGCATGGTTAATAGAGACCATTACTACCATGCCATTTACATTGAATTTTGATTTGGAGAGTAGGAATCTTGAACATAGGCTCAGCTTCACTACAGTATTTTACAGAACAAAACTAGGTACTTTTGTATTCTTGTTCAATACTTATTCATAATATGCTTGAATAAAACCATGGGAAACCATGATCAATTTTGACAGGAAATTGTTCACAAATTTTAGAATTCGCATACAAGACTCACATTTGGAGTACCACACCTCCAAAAAGATCAAACTCATTTCATATTACGTAACAGAATCTTAATACATCGTAATTAATAAAGAACATATTCAAGAGCATACAGATAACTAAACCTGTATAATTAATTGAATATGATAAATTATAGTGGGAACTCCTTCGCCAAAGCGCTCAAATCCTTTCTCTCAACAGCATCCAACAAGTCATTTCGTGATGCAATGCTGCAAGAAACAAACATACCAAATTAGTTCTGATCACAAAATTATCGTGAATTGAACTGAAGTTCACACACAAAAAAAGTTGCAAGTGAAATGTGAGTGTATAGCCATGCCTATTTGCTGTGGTACCGTAAGAAGAGGTAATGCAAATCACTTAACCGAACAAAGCAAGCTGAGACATACTTTTGTGTAAGAGCTACACAATTGTTATACTGTACATCACATGAAAAGAAGTTTCATGAGGGACTCCATGAGCACAGATAGAGACAAAACCCCACACCCCACACACTCTTCATTCTCACTAACTCCTCACAAATTTATCTCCCGGGCCCATCGTTCACACTCCCACAGTTTCTCTCGAAACTACCGCACTTCTTATTAGACTCTGCACAGGCTTTCTATGCATTGCGTTTAGAAACCTTGCATCATACGTAAATGAAGCAGCTTGGGGAGACAAATCTGTGAAAAACTGTGCATGCGCGTAATCCTAAACAACTCTCATTGAAAAGTTGGGAAAACAATATGGCAGTAGGGATCTAAAAGCATTTACACCATCACATGCCAACTGACTTTGTGTTGATAAAATTGCCATGAAAAAATTGCCATGTCTGAATTTTTCTCTCCTCCGTAGTTTCAGTTACATGTATATAGAATGTGAACATCTTATAGAAATTGACAAAGACCTCGAGAAGTAGAGAAGATGACGGGAGGTAAAATTTGGAGAGATGGAATATCAGGGAAAGCGAAAAAGTACAGGGTTGTATCTTTCCACACTGTGAAGGAGCCGATAGAGGGAAGTTGGCAGTGCGTCAGCAAAGATACTAAAAAATCATGAAGTCATCCAGAACAAAACTATGACGTTAAGAGGATATATAACTTGAATACCTGAGAGAAATGCGCAAGTACTGCCAAGCGTTATCTGCTTTCGGATTCATCTCCAAGGCCCGAACATAGTATCTGATCGATTCCTCATAGAGCCCCTGCAGAAAGGATTTTTACCTCGAATTGTTAAGAAGGCTATATCAGGATCGAACATGACTCTGCGTGACAAACCAGTACTAAGTTGAGCAGAAAATAACTTTGTTGTTTTTTCGTAACGCTGAAAGTAACCGAAATCAGAAGTTGAAGTTAATGGCTAAAGAATAATGCCTGATTTGCATAACCAATTCCCATATTTGACCATGCTCGCACATAGTTGGGCTTCAAATCCAGAGCCTGTACCACAAAAAGCTGTAGCTTGAGCAACAAGAAAAGACCATACGAGAATTTCTTACAAGGATTGAAGTGTTCCAAACTATGTGAAACTGAAGATTCCTCAGAAGACAGATCAAAGAATGAATAGACTAACTTCTAAAACATCACTCTAGAAGACAAACCTCTTGGTAAGCATAAATAGCTTCAGCACTTCGTGAACTATTTGCTTGAGTTGCGCCTAGTTTATTCCACAAAGAGTAATCGCGGGGCTTCAACTGAAGAGCTCTTTCGAATGAACTGATGGCCTTGACATAATTTCGTGATAAATTGTAAATTACACCCAAAACTGTGTGTATATCACTGTCCTCTGGGGACATTTGAGCAGCTTCTAGGAAGAGGCCCTCGACCTGAAAGAACAAGAGGTCAATATCTGAGCGAGATTCCTTAGAGACTTATTTTTCTTCTTAAGCTGCGTCTGGGTTCCATTGCACTATACCGAGTTTATAGAACCATTTAAAATTGCTATATTCAAACATCAATAATACACAACCTACAGTCTACACCAGTGGCAGCCAATCCAAAGCTTACCTCTGAAGGAATTAGTTGTTCCGAAACATTTCCTGGGACAAGTGCGCCATACTTAGGATGGTGCTGTAACCATCCTCTAAGGTACCGCAAAGCTTCGTCTTGCTCCAGCTCTATAAAGTCAACAATCCAATAAAAGTTTAAAAGCATTCATAAAAAATCAAAGTGATACCTGATCTAAATCTTAACTGTAAAAACCTAATTATATGAGAGTATGCATACCATTAGTGTGGCTCACGCCAAGAGCCAGAAGAACCTCTAAGTTGGAGGGATCAGCATCTCTTGCTTTGACCATAGAAGCAATTGCCTACATTAGAACAGGCACAACCAAACGATCAAAAACAGCGCCTATGGACTACCTGGGTCTTTGATTAGGAACTTTCAATGAACATTATTAATAAAATTTAAACAGTCAAAGCGAGTACACATATTAACGATGCTACACAGTAAGAGCTTTTTTTCTTAAAAAAGAAAGCCACAAGAAATACGGTTTTCATCGCATACTTGTCTGTCATCATCATTTTCAGCATGTGTGATCCCGAGTAACCGCCATCCTTCAGCATTATCAGGATTCTTCAGCACCTCAGCTTCCAAAGCCAAAACCGCTTCACTAAGTAATCCCCTCCGAAAAAGTTCCTGACCTTCTTTGAGCGGGTTGGGATGCCCCACGTAAGGATTATTATCCGCAAATTGATATACGAAGCGCGAGGACCCAGCTTTCATTTGTTCTCCTCTCACTGACTCTTCCACAAACCTGTATTGATTAACAAACTTACATTTAGGTGAAAGCCTTGGACAAGTTTAGAGTCTACTTTCGATGCTCTATCATCCACGTGGTGAAGGGACTATCATTCATGCTGCACCCAATCTACGCCACTCACATATTTTAATGAAAGCAAACGAGAGTGACAAAGTTTTAACTTGAATGTTTAAAATAAATAAATGCATCGGTAATTTACTGTAGTGTCCATTCCTCGTAAAAAGTACTTAACCTTAATCAGCTTACCTCATTGAATGTGCTAAAACCTATATGAGAACTTCTGTCTCTGAAAGTATCACACTATTGACCGACCAGAAAAAATGAAACCAAATTATTAACTAATTCTGATGTTCCATAAGCTTGAAAACGAACACGAAAGGGTAAAAAAATCATTAAAATAGATCTCCCTACTGCAATTTCCTCAAAGACCTACAAGCGGATTTGAAAATTGTTGGAAAATCTGCAAAAAGTCTGCCAAAAGTCTAGTCTAATCCTTAAGCGGAACTTCACATGTAAGGCGAACAATATCTAGATATACGACAGCTTTATATCCTTCAAAGTGTTATTTATGATGATGAAACATTTCGACCGTATTCATTACAAAGACACAAACTATGGAGGATACCTTGCAATAACAGGGTATATATGTTCTACGGCATTCAAAATAACTTACTGATCATATGAATCAACCCATTCTGAACTGACGTCATCTCCGAGAGCACCTCTAGCCATCTGATCCCCGAACTCATCAGCCCAATCCTTCACTCCCAACTTTGAGAACTCGTCAACCCAAGCGTCATTAGTTGTAACAGGTTCAGGTTTACCCCTTGCAAACTCATTTGCCCAAGTGTCACCCCTGAATTGATGCTGTCAAACAAATATGCACGAGTCAGGTTTTGCACATTTTCTTCGAATCCTCCAAGTAACAAACTCCTCAAATCCTATTAGTTGCACTTTGACGAATCACTGGAACAAATGTTCTCAAGGTCATTTCCTAGGCAATCTCTATATTCCCATCCACTTAGAGTGTTGAAATATCATACGTTAGACTCGCCTATAACAAGAGACTCCCCTCACATTTATTTATACTAGTGACTGTACGATAATCAGAAAACTACAGCAGAAGAATGAACTGAACTGTAAAAGCAGAGTGGACACTATTGAAAGTTATTATCAGTTTCAATATCCATTTCCCAATTAGGTATGATTTGAGGTTTCAACGTGAAATTTGATATAGGTTTCACCAAAGAAAAAATGACACGTCAGTTTTCAATTCTAGGAAGTTGGTATTTAAATAACTTGTATCGAATCTGACAGCGAAGATATTTGTGAAACGGACCTCTCCTGCAGTAAACTCTGCAGCCCATGATTCAGGATGCTGTTGTTGAAACTCATTAGCCCAAGCATCGGCATTTGTCGTGGCTGACTTGACCTGATTATCTTCCACGATAAGTTCTCCACGACTCATTTTCGATACAAACTGCAAAAATTTGGAACTCTGGCAAAACACACAGACCAGTCACACGGAGACATACACTGATTTGCAGTTCAAAGCTTGCAAATCTCCACACAATGATCTTATCATACCATAATATACAAAAATATACTAGTATCCTACCTGTCGGCAGAATAAAACTCCAGTTAAATTGTAGGCAAAAAACCATCAATTTCATGACATCAGCAAGATTGCTACAAAAAAAGGCTGAAACCATTCAACAAATAAAAGTACGTATCGCATCTGTGTAGGTCGTCTCTAGGCCTCAAGCAGTTTCTGAGAATGATGGATTCTAGCTAGTACCTGGAATTTTGGGTCCTGGTTTTGAGACAAAGTCTGAACAAGTGAACGAGTTTGCTCCATCCCAGCCATATTGCCCATTTGCCCGTTACGAAGATGACTCAGACTTTGCTGCTGTATCAAGGAGAATGTTGCAAACATGAAAACTTACTTCCGATGGAAACACGCAAGTAAAATTACAGGAGTTAAGAATTAGCGCTCTGAAGATTTCAACAATGATACCAACACGGATGTAGACCGGATTAAAGAATAATCTTGAACTTTTCAGCACCAATGGTGCATTACTAAAACACTACTAGATTAATTCGTCTGTTATTGCATTGACGAGTTATGGAAACACACCTCTTGCATCTGATTGGCCCAATTATTGCCAGTCTGTAGATTGTCAAACTCATCTGCCCAGCCTTGAGGAGCCCCAGAAGGCCCAACTTGGCTGTGAAATTCATTTGCCCACTGAGTTCCAAGTGACATAGGAGGTCTTGGCACAACTTGCATATTACTCTGAGCAAAACCCTCTTTCCACAATTGCTCAAATTCTGGAATCTGACCAGCAAGTGGACCACGAGTTTGGGCTCCCAAACTTTCATCAATATCCAAGGAATGTAGAAGACCATTGACCTGCAGTTAACCAGAAAATCAGAAATAACCAATGGGCAAATCCAGCGCACGTATGCAATTAAGAAAAATACTTAGAAATACACCCTACGTCAAAATATCCAATTATGAACTTATCCACAAATTTAAACACTAAGGCCGGAAAGCTTGAAATAGTTCACAAGAAAAATACACGCAGGAGAAAGTGTACCTGAGAATCAACAAAAGTATCGCCCTTGTCAGCAAATATGTGGCGTCCCATGATGTGACTACGGTCCCTTATCCGACGCTTGTCAGCCTGAGAAAGTCCAAGCTCTGGCAGCCTAACAGCAGGAAAAGGAGCATTCGTTCGACTGCTGTCGAAGAAAGAATGAAGAAAATTATTCAACACACGCTGTGGTGGGGCTGCACTCACACACAGGTGTAACAAAATTTAGTTGACTGTGTGGAGGTTGGCAATTTAATACATGAAACGAATCTATTAAAAAGGGGTAATGCGGTAGTCAAACTCACTAAGACAGCTATTAAGATGGTAGTATTATCATTAACTGATCATATTTTGCAAAACCCTAACAAATAAAATACTCAAAACGTATCATTTAACTTCCAAAGCAAGTTGTCGGGCACGAGTTGAGAAAGAGAACGTATTCAGATAAGTAGATGAGCTAACCATCTAACAACGGCGCACCGGATGGACCAGCTTGTTGCCCGTATATACTATCAAATTCTGAGAATAACGCTCCTTCCTGATTTCCGGGAACCGTTGATAACTGTGGGGGAGGAGGCCACCTTTCCACAGACTGATTCCAAGCATCTGTGAATTCTCTTGGGTCCGCACTCTGAAATCCTCGCATGTACTCCGGCACCTGCACGGCACGCAACAACGATTTAAGAACAACTCCCAAGTATACACCTGTAATTTACAAGACATTATCTCTTCTCATATCAACTGTCTAAATTAAGATAATACACGAAACCCGAATAGATGCAGCCAGTACCAAACATAAACTGAGCACTGCTTCGCGTACCTGCCCATCATGCCATTGGGCTTGATTAAATTCAGAGCCAGGAAGCGAGGTAAGCGGTCCATTTCGGCCAAATTGAGGTCCAGCTTGGCTTGCTCCAGCTAATCCTGGCATCTCCCGGATCCTCTCCTGAGGGTATTGAATCGTTGTGCACGGTCAGTTTATACATGATACACGGGACACACTCTCTTAATGTCACTTTATCACAGCGAAAACATTTCAAATTTTTACTTCCTTCATCGCACTTCGTACTGCTCATTAACCAATTTCAAATCATGATCAATGCTCGAACGCAAAACCACGGATTGTTAATTTCAGCAGTAGAATGCTAAAAAAACCGCTACTTATGCTTCACTGTCCCAGCAACTAACCTGAGTTTTAGATGCAGAGCCAATGATCGAGTCAGCCAAGCCACCCAAGGGATTCGAAGACGACGCGCCATCTTGCCCGGGGACTGCACACCCGGCGCCTCCCATCACCAAGTCACGAAACGCCATCCTTCCTGCCCCAATCAACCCGCACAAAGGGATTCAGATTACTTTTCAAATCACTACCCCCACACAATTTTTCACGGTATTAAAATTTCATAAATTGTATTGTCTACTAGTTTCTAATTCAAATGTAGCCCTAACGACGCGTCTTAAACGAGCTCCACCAAATCTATTCAGAACCGAAATTCAAAATCATGATCGCAATTGCCCCAGAACTCCAATAAAAAAGCAACGTCCTTACCTCACGGTCCCCAACCACACAAAGTTCGACAGCACCTCTTGTACCGCCACTTAATACTGCTAGTTTGCTTCTACATCCATCAAACAATTCCTACAACTTCTTCTGGACAGGCACTGACCTAATGAAGTTGCACAGTCAGCGGGATTGTTATCCAGACTACTACGCAAGGGTTTCAAATCTATAACGAGCTAAAACCAGAGCTGCAGAATGCAGTGTGGCAAAGCAAAACTGGACGGACGCTTCTGGAATTCAGTGCTCGAGGCGAGAAAGCGCAGCATGGCGCATGCGCTTCGCCATAGCCACGAGACTCAGCACAATACACTCCTAATCGGTTCTGAGAGGCTTCTAAATCAGTCTTCGTCGAACATGACGAGCCTCGACCTCTCCCGTCCAACGGATGCCACAACTGTCCAGAAATCCCAAAGAACTCCGTGAAAATCGTAGATATGAAACTCTAAGAACTAGGAATTGTGTTATTTCTCCTAGATCCACTGTGGACCCCGGCGGCCCAAAGCAAAATCTGTGGAAGAGAAGGCAGAATGGTTCGGTGCGAGGTTTGGTTTGCGTGCCCCAACCGTGGAGGACCTACGACCGTTGGAACGCCGGCTCGACTGCACTACAGAGCGGTGGCCTTACGTGTAAATTCATCCTGCCTTTCATCCATCCATATCCTACTGCCGTCCCAAAAGCATGAACACCATTCATCTATGTCCTCATCGTAATGTCATCCACTGTTTCTCATCCCTGGTTCTAAATTCCTTGTTACTCTACACAATGACATAATTGTATTTTCCATATTTCGTTTCTATTCTTCGGTGTTCCTTCAAAGTGGGCTCTTGTGTTTCGAAAAGTATATTCAGTTTAAAAATTATTTTAATGTTGATTGGTATACTTAAGATTAATTGTATCATATATTCTTGAATTGAACCACAAATTTTGCATGTACATTTTAATAATACAACCTTCTAAGTTTCTATGATAAAATTAATTTTTATCATTTTTGTAGTTCGAATGATTCCTATATTACTGAAAGTGATGCTAATAATATGTGAAAATAGTTTAAAAACAATAAAGCATTTTATTATCATACTTTGAATGATTTGGAATCCATTATAATATGTATCATTGGTACTTTCAATATTTATTTTAATTTTAAATATGATTCATGTTAAGGAAATAATAGTTATTATAATTTAAAAAGACACGAGATGAACTTTGTTCATGACATAATATCTAATTGATTTTTACATTTAAAAAATATTAAATATATATGTACATAAATCTTTGAAGTTATATTTATAAAAAAATTTAAAATATATTTATATATACATATATATACACATTTTGAAATCGATTAATTCCACGCATGAAAAGTATTTTCAATGAAATATTTAAACAATGATTGACGATATGATTAAAAGCTGTTAAAGTTTAATTCATGGTTTTTTAGTCAAAAATTGACCACTCCTAAATAAATTTTGATCCAAAAAAATTAAAAATAAACTAAGAATATATGCATAATAACGTAACTATTTATATTAGTTATATTGTATAAGAAATGGTAAAATTTATAGCTCATTATTTTATTATATATTATTTCTTAAATTAGGTCATTATGTAATTTTTTGAATTATATCTTGAGTTTTTTCCATAGTTTTTTATGCTCAACATGTTTAGCACTGGGATAATTACATCTTTGCTCATGTATTCAATTAGTTTTTTATTGTCTACAGCTCAAATGTCATTGCCTTGTCTATTTCAAACATTTTATCATTTAAACTTCTAAATTTCATAAGCTACTTTGTCATTGCTATAAACTACTTTATTAAGATCCATATATAAAACCTTTCGCAATGTCCACTCAAGCATCTTACATAATCTATGATCCTACCAACTATCATAGACATACACATATAAGCAAGTAATTACCTATGTAAATAGATCGAAGAAAGTAGAAGTATATAAAAGTAAATTAATTCTATAATATCTTCTATATAAGCTTCTAAGAAGCTTCATAGATACTACTTTGACTTTATAGGTGTCTATAATTGACTTTTTGATTTAAAAATATAGTCATCAAGTTGGCCATGTACTTGTCAAGGACAAGAACTCGATGAAAAAAATAATTTAGACAAGTGAGCCTTCACTCAAAGAGATGTAACAAAATATATATAAATAAGTATACATATTGAAAGAGGAACTGGAATGGCTATTGCCAAAAGACAAGAAAATTAGAGACCCTTGAAACTAGACTAGAAGCAAGAAAGGAGTTGACAAGACTGAAGAAGCCTTCACTCTTGTCTCTATATATACTATCTAACTAAGAGCTACGTGGCGACGTTCTATAGGACCTCCAATATGTGTTGACTTTGTAGGCCACATGCCTTGACTTACAAGGTAAGTTTTTCTACATGTGGGCCACATAGTTAGTTTGATCTTTAAGCTAACAACATGTGTGGCACATGGCCAACTTGTTGACGACGTTTCTAATCCAAAAAGTCAATTAAAGACACCTATGAAGTCAAAGCAGCGTCTAGGAAGTTTCTAGGAAGCTTCCATATTAAATATTATAGAATTAACTTACTTTTACCTATTTTTACTTACTTCTACCTATTTTTATATGTAATTATTAGCTTACATGATTATGGCCGTGACATTACCTCCCCTTCTAGGGACGAGTTCCACGAGGAGCGGTCATCATATGTTGAAGAAATCTATGATGCGACAAATTGTAATCGCCACATATTATGATCTCTGTTTTCTTCGAAGATGATTGATAGGGCCTCTCAACCGTCGGTAGTGTCCCATACCAGGGCGGGAAGACCACCCAGTTATTTGATCATTGTTGAGGCCTTCGTAACTTCCTTGGAATAGAATATTTGGAACACCATCAGGAGTTGTTTCTACCTCTAGTAAAATCACCAAACATCGGGAGTCCCTTCCCAAATCGTGATACCAAACGCGTTGTATCTCACCATCTATTCGAGGAAGAACATGTCATTCTTGAAGATCTTCATCTGGATTGCGTCGTCTTAAAGGTTGTGACAATCGTAATGTCTCATCCGGCAGGTCAGCAAATGAAGGCTCTTGAGTTGAATTCGCTCGTTGTTGGTTCTCCATCTCTTGAGCACCACTACTACAATGAAGCTACGTATAAGAATTGAAAGTGGAATGTTATCTTGTCTAGATGCTATTTCTTTTATAAAGAAGGTTTTCATCTTGATTTTGATAGATGTCGTCGATGAAAAGCCTCCATCGCCTTTGCTGCATTTGCAAGATTCTTTAATGGCTCCCATGCGCGTTCACTAATACCATATCCGCGCCAATGGACAAGATATTCTAATTTATTTTGGCGCTGCCTTGAATCTAAGATTTCTTCTACTTCAAACTCTTAATTATTGTCCACTTCTATAGGATGAGGTGGAGCTTGTCGTCTTTTTGGTATGTCCACTGTCTTGTATGGTTCAAGAAGAGATACGTGGAATACTGGATGGATTTTCATTGACTCTAGTAGATCTAAACAATATGCAACTGGATTGATTTGTGCAGAAATAGAAAATGGTCCCAACCTTCGATAGTCTAACTTGTCACAAGGTCGAGTGGTCTTGATATTGCGACAAAGTAGCCATACCTTATCACCCAAGACGAATGATGGTTGTTCCTTTTGATAGACATCCGCATTGGCCTTTTGTTGTTCTTGAGCCTCTTTTCACTGCGCCTTCATCGTTGCATGTAGCTCTGATAAATGAATTGCCAAATCTTTCGCAGCAGGATTATCAACTTTTGAAAAGTCAAAAGTATCAAGTCGTGGATGATAACCATAATTAGCAAAGAAAGGTGTTTGTTTTGTAGAAGAGTGTACCGTGTTATTGTAAGCAAACTCTGCCAATGGCAAAAGAGTTGTCCAATCATCTTGTTGGTAATTAATGGTACATCTTAAATATTGCTCCAAAACTTGATTAACACGCTCCGTTTGTCCATCAGTTTGAAGATGGAATGCCGAAGATAGTTTTATATCCACTTTAAGAATCTTGAAAAGAGTCCGCCAAAATCTTGATACAAATTGAGTTCCCCTATCTGATATAATATCCTTGGATAATCCATGATAGCGATAGATATTGTCAAGAAAGAGCTTAGCTGTTTCTTCACCTATGATAGATTTTTTACATGGTACAAAATGTGTCATCTTGGTAAAACGATCTACTATCACGAATATAGAGTCATAAGAACTTGGATTGGAAAATCCGTGATGAAGTCCATAGAAACAGAAGACCATGGTTGTTCTGGAATGGGTAATAGCTGAAGAAGTCCAAAAGGTCGATGACGAGGAGTTTTCGATCTTGAGCAAACATCACATGATTGTACAAAATCTTTAACTGCCTTCCACATTTGAGGCCACCAAAAATCTCTAGATATCAGCTCCAAAGTCTTACTATATCCGAAATATCTTGCTGTTGGGAAGTCGTGACGAGCTTGAAGAACACGTAAACGTGCTTCTCCTTCTGGAACATATAGGCGTCCTTCGAAATAGAGTAGGTTGTTCTTGAATTCAAATTTAGATGGATCATGAGATTTAGAAGAATTGTTCTTGATATCATGAACAAGAGGGTCTGAAGACATACTTAACTGGACTTGCTTAAGGAAAGTTAAATCAACAGTCAATGTTGATTTTATTGCTCGAAGATGAAATTGTTCCGGCTTCAAGAGAACCGTTCTTTGTTGCTCAAAAGCTGCATCTCCTTCTTTTGGTGCATACTAGATTGTATGCTCCCCGAAGATCTATTTTTGTATAGATCTTAGCTTGATTCAGCTGATCAAGAAGTCCGGATATTAAAGGTTGTGGATACCTGTTTTTGATGGTAATCTTGTTGAGTCCTCGATAATCAACACACATCCGCAATGATCCATCTTTTTTCTTCACAAATAGAATTGGAGCTCCTGCCGGAGATTTACAATGGCGTATGAAATTCTTGGCTAGGTTTTCTTCAATATACTCCTTGAGTTCAGCCAATTCATTTTGTGATAAACTGTAGATTGGTCCGAATGGCGGTTGTGCTCCTTCTTGAAGGTCAATTGAGCAATCATAGAGACGATGTTCCGAGAGTGTATCCGCATTTTTTTTTTCAAATACATCTTGAAATTCTTGATATTGGCTTGGAATGCCACTTGAAGTCTTTTTACCAATAGAAACGGGTGTAGCATAAATAATGTATGGTGATTCTTTCATAGTAGCATGCAAGAAAGCTTTTGTACCTATAAATATGGGTTTAACTGAACTGAACTTATGACTCTCTACTTGATTAACTACACTGTTAGTTATACTTTTAGAGAAAGTAAGAGTTTGG